TGGGACAACCTGCTAGATGCCATCAGACTTATACTACTTCACACGCAACACTAGAGACGTACTATTGTCCTAATCAACATATGCCCGTATGAGAGAACACCTGCCTGTCATCCGAGAGTCAATGGTCAGTACGTACCACTTAAGGGGGAGATAGGCATACAGAGGGGATGCAAGAAGTACGAAGTCAAGATGTGAATAGATACAATGGCAGGTCGATATCGGACCATGCGACGACGTCATCGCGGTCGGATAAGTGATTTTGGGCAGGCAAGTCCCCCTTGCAATTGAAATCTGCAGAAGCGGTTGGGGATGTTGAGGGAATCTGGAGAGGATGTGCATGTTCCCAGCAGATTCCCACCAAGGGGGAATTTACTGGGGAATCCGTGGGTAATATGCGTGGAATACGCAGATTCCCTGCATGTTCCCTGCCACCGTAATCTGGCGCTTCACGCGGTGCGAGCTCGTAGAGGGTCGCATGTGGGGTCGCAACAGCATCCGCTGCCGCGAGCGTATTCTCCACTACGTCCACCCCTGGTAGACGCAGACCGCGCAGACGAGGACAGTTGCGCGCGAAGTGCGCGAGTGCATCCATCCCCGCGCGGGGCCCTTGAACGACGCGGAAGTCCAGATTGAGCTCCTCAAGACGAGGCCAGGCTGCAGAGAAGGCCTGCACATCCTGCGACGCGTATTCGAGGTCATAGCCCTCAAAACGCAGCGACACACTGCGAAGTGCGCGTAGGGAGAGCAGAGGCTCAGCGATGGCCGCCAGCCGCGCCGCGCCGACCGGTGCGTTCGGGCTTGGCGCAGGGTCACTGGCCCAGGACAGGTGGACGTAGAGGGATAGCTTCTCAAGCATTGTATGAGCTGCGGATATGCGGTGTAGGAGTCGGGACGCGTCTGCCACAAGCAGGGTATTCTCCAGTAGTGTGTGTATGGAGAGCGATCGCAGCTGCGGAGCAAGTGCGCTTTCAAAGGGTCCGCCGTTGGATTTCCAGGGGCGTTCCACGCAGCGATGAGTTAGGGAAGGGGAGACGATGCCGCAGCTACAAAGTGAGGTTACAACAATACATAAATCCCGCAGAACAGGAAGTCTGGCAAGATCCTGCAAGTCGCCAGAGTGGATTTTGGTGTCAATCGTGATGTCGCGCAGGTGCGGAAAGTAGGTCAGAAGTCCGGGGTGGCCGAGGCCCGCCGGAGAGTACCGACTGTGGAAGCATTCCAAGTTGGGAGCTGCGGTGACAATTTGAGCCATCACGCGCTTCCGTGTGTCTGCGTGATCCCATTGAGAGTACCGCAGTTGAATCTCTCGTACAGATGGATGGATAAGAGAGAGACATCCAAGATTGGCAGAAGAGAGAGCGCGACTACGCCGGGGGAAGACTTGTTCACCCACGTAGACCGTGTGGAGTTGAGGTAGTACGTGGATGCCGCCTATCAAGGACGCTATGTCTTTCCATATCGCTGACCGTGCTAGTGATTGGAAGGGGTCTAAGTTGATCTTGCGAACGTAGGAGGCATGCTGAGAAAAGCGTTCCCACTGAGGATGTGCTCTTACATCCTGCTGTACGCTCAGGCGCTGTTATAGATGTAGATGTCAATACGGACACTTCTGTCAGACGATTCTTTCACTCACAGGAACATAAATGGCCTTATACTCGGGATCAACCAGGTAGTTGTAGGCGGTGGAAGCATCCAACGAGTAATGCGCAATGGCGAGGGTGCACAGCAGCTCAAGTAAAGGCTGGTCGCTAGGTAGACATCTCCATAGGACTTTCAAAGCCGGATGAGTGAACGCTCTGCAGGACCGAGCTAAGCGTGCTAGTGCTTGGCGACAGTGGATCGCGTCTCGAACCTCGTCTTGGGCAGAGTCAATGTCTACACTGACATGCAGCTGTTCAAATACTTGGTATATGATGTCGTCCATGGCATACCAAGGCTGAGCGCCGAACTGGCACGAGAGGGTAGATGATCTATGTGATGGGGAGCTTGAAAGCTTGTTCAAGTTCTGGGAGTCAGATATCTGCAGTCCAAGGCGCCCAAACAAACGCCTCTCCGGCGCATCCCGAGTCCTAACTATGTAAATATGTGACTTCAACCGAAACCGACCATCAAGGTACCAGGACCACTGGAGTACTTAGCTACCTGGGTACTTTGCGCCAACGGTAATCGTTTCGCCACGTTCGAATGATTACACTTTAAATCGCGCGCCCGCACTGGCAGGCATGCTGGACTATGCTAGACGTACACTAGCAGTCGGTTCCGCCGACGAGGTCTCAAGATAGACGACGCAAGTACCCACGGCTGACGAGAAGTTGCGCGGCGCGTGCGTATAGCTACCATACCCCTATTGCAATGTATACGTGGTGATTACGTGCGAAATTCTATGTATGCCTTCGGGAAAACTTTCCCAATCGCAATCTTGATTTGCAAAACGCCTCATGTCCTCGAACCATAATCGTTGGCACCGCAAAATACTGCAAGGCATGCTGCTCCGGGGCGGCGAAATCCTCAAGCCTCGCAAGGCCCTCCGGGGTAACGTCCAAGGCAGGCATACGAAGTCTGCGAAGACGTGGACAGTGATCAGCGAAATGGTCGATGGAATAGACGTCCGCCCGCGCCACCTTCACCTCATTCAGCTCGATGTGGAGCTCCTCGAGATACGGCCAAGACCGTGCCATGTCGAGAAAGAGCGACGAGGAGTGGTCCAGGTCGATCTTTTCCATGATCAAGGAGAGGCTGCAAAGGTCGCGGAGCGTCAGGAGAGGCTCGATGATCTCTGTGAGGGCTTCGCCCGAGATAGGGAAATAAATGGGGATGGGGTCATGCCCGACGCGAAAGCCCATGGGCCGGAAGTGCATGGACACGCTCGTCAACGCAGGGCAGTTAGACGCTAGCGGGCCGGTGTGTTGGCGTGCTATTTCATTGGCGAAAGGCAGATCCAGCGTTATCCATAACGCAGAAAGGGAGATGGAGCGCAGTTGCGGCATGATCGCGTGCTTGAGCAAGGTAGGAATGCTCACGGAATCTCCCTTCACCGCGAGACTCTGCAAGGTCGGAAACACGAGGGGACGACCCCAGGGTCCATCGAGTGACAAAGAGAGGTGTTGGAGAGCAGGGAGGTTCGCGAATGCGTCGAACTCTTTCTGCATTTTGGCCCCAGCGATCTCCAAGCGACGCACATGAGGAAGGCAAGATTTCAGCACTTCTGAGGAGAAGCGGGTGTAGCGAATTCGGAGTGTCTGTAGCTGGGGGCATGCAGCGCATACGTCGGAAAGGAGGCTATCCATCAGATGGTCCGTTCCGGGGACAAGTCTGCGGCCTTTGCTGGTGATCAAGAAAGAAAGCTCGCGAACGTGAGGAGAAATTAGGTGGAAGGAGTCCTGGTTCCTGGGCGACTGCCTGGTTAATAAGCCGTCGAGAGTCACCGAGTGGAGTCGAGGAAGAATGGGATGATTCATAAGAGACCACACGTCTCGTCATAGAGTGGAGGCGGCAGGAGTCTCTAGTGGGTGCAGAGTGACTTCCCGAACGTGTGATGCGTAGTCGAGGAAGCGACGCCATGATAAGTGAGCGTGAGGTTCCTGCCTCTGAGTCTAGTTAGGGTAGGGCCATTACGACGTCAATCACAGTCACAATGGGCACCGAAAACAACTCACCAGTATCAGCAGCTCACATTCATCCGGCTCACATTGCACAAGCCCGAGAGTGGAAAGGAGATTTGTTAACGGGCGCTCGCTGGGTAGCCTTCTCCACAAGAACTTGATTGCGTGTACGGTGAGTCCCTTGGAGCTCCTGGCAGACGAAGCCAAGGTTGCTCGAAGCAGCTCATCTTTTTTAGGGGACGTGGACCGACTGGGATCCAGGTGAGAGAATATCTGGGCGAGCACGTCATCCACCACAGGCAGCGTGTGCATGGTGGACGAGATAGCGGGAGACCAAGAATAGAAAGCGCACATGAATCCTCGGACCCATACCCCCTTAAATTCGGAACATTGCTACAGCACGGTTTGAAACACAGCTTGTACAGAGATCGCAGTAGGTGTGGCACCGAACGAGTGAGCAACGTGTTACACGGTCTCACGAGGACGAGCGACCTCCCTTGGTCGGGCATGCAAGGGCAATGAAATTCTCGCGTCCAGTACATAGACAAGGCCCTTCGGAGAGACGTGTTGCAGCACACATCCCGATTAGGCAACGGGCAGTGTTGTTGCGTAGGTAGGCATGGTGGCTGTGAGCGGAAAGCGCTGGGTGCAACAGGTCTTAGCGCCCAATTGACGTCTCATCGTCATCCGATCGGACGTGAATGTCTCTAGCATATATGACATGACGTAGTAGCCTCAAGCTGTCTCTGGCTCTCCATCAATGAAGTGTATCTTATCACGCATTGCATGTTGTGTTCTCCCTCAGCTGCTCAAGGTCTCTGCTCGCCAGCGGACCTACCTCCCAACCGTCAAGCCAGCAACCCCAAAATCAGCTTATACTCACCTTGCCGCCAGCCTTGCGACGGTGTCGCAATGCCACCTAAGAAAGAGTTCTATTGCGACTGTCGACAGTACTGCCGAAGCCAGAGGCGCCAAGTTTCGCGGACGACGTACTACAACCACGCCCACTACCGTAACCTGCCACTCCTACAGGCCTTGCGACTTGCACTCGGGGCCAGTGATTCGGCGGAACCGACAGGAATTCAGTTCACGCACACGCGTAGCACCAAGCGCCACAGGACACAGAGGCGGGTAGGTTGTCTTATTGTTCGATTTCTCTAATGAATCATTCTAGATTGACTCCGGTGTATCTCTAGGGGCAACAACGCGTCGCAGGCTCGTCTTCCTCTGCCGGTACACACGCAGGCGCAGATCTACAGGGGGCTAGCGGTGTGAGTTGTGCCCCTATCTGATCCAAAAGCCGGACTCAGCGCATACATATATGGCACATGAGAGCCACGCAATGCGCCTGCTCATGAGCAGGCGCATGTATGTATGCTAGGCGATGTACAAGACGCTGTCGCTTTCATCTCGATGAAGAATTGGAGCTCCTTGTAATGGAGCTCGTGCGCACACGTGTGGCACATCATCGCATTTTCCATCGGCGTGTGCAATTCTCCACATTTGAGCTGATATCGTGTGAATATTACCTCTCTAGAACGCCGAGCTGGAGCCACCAGGGTCTCAGCCAGTCCAGGCCGACCCCCGTGAATACATCCCACAGCCTCCCGTGGGCACTGAACACTCGTCAGTCGAGGAGCCCGAATCGGGGACGCATGGCGCGGCAGGGTCGCTCCCTAAGCCGACCTCGGAGGAGCCCAAACATGCAACGGCGGTCATCGAGCGGATGCGTCACCCGAGGCGGCACGGAGACCTTCCGGACCTCACACCACCTGAACGCTCTCAGCAACGTAATCATGAATCCTCTTCATCTCGATCACAGTTGCGCTCTGGCTCTCCAACTCGCTCCCGTTCTCGCTCTCACTCTCGCTCTCAGTCGGTATATCCTAGGACGCGCTCTCGCGACCCATACGCCTCTCGCTCGCACTCGCATATGACTCCGTATAGCTCTTGTATTCCTCTCCCGACAACCTCACATCTCTGGTACGACTACGGACCCCCGCGCATCGCCCAACCTTGGGAATATCTACTTCCGCCCAACATTCCCCTGCCATACCCGCCTTCCCAGCAATTTTCTTCCTCTCTGGACTATCGCACTCATTACCCAACTCTCTCACCAACATATGTAAGGGCCTTGTCCGCCTGTAACCGCGCATATACTCACCTTTGCACAGGGGACATGGACTTCCGCACCGGACCCGGGTGGCCCGCACGCCACTGTGGCGTTCATCGAACTCGCAGTACGACTTCAACGCGTCGAACAAGAGCTTCCGGAGCTTCGGCACGTATCCTTCCAGCACCTGTCTCGCTGCTATTCCCGTTCTGACCAAGTCCGTCTAGCCGCCAATTAGCAGAGCTCCAATACCGCTTGAACAATTTAAAGTAAGCCCTAGCGTTGTTTGAAGCACGTACGCATCTTCTTGCGAGCGTGGCCCAGCTGTGTGCCACGATCTGCGATCCGACCGATAGGACGTGAGTACTAGTTGGGCACCCATTCGCTTATGCGCCCTTGCGTACGCGCACTCAAGGTATCATTCGGCGATCACTGGCTGCTGGAAGTCAAGGCTGCCCTCAGGAGGATATGGAGGCTACGCACGTCATGTATTTGTATGATGAAGCTCGCTCAATAAAGAGTATCACAGCACGCACAGGCGCAACAGCTTACAGAGGCGCTCTACCAGAACGGGGGAGCTGGCTCTACAGGCCCGCCCGCACACTCGGGACACCAAGATGCGCCCGTCATCACCGCCCAATGTTTCTCCATGACAATACGCTCCGGCCGGAACGCAGACGCAGCGAGCGGGAACACCCCTCCCACACGCTCCGATATGAGTCCCGAGAGGTCCTCCCTCCCCGGCGGCAATAGCACCCTCGGAATGACGAGTGTGCGCAAGCCATGGCGCTCCAGAGGGAGGGCGACCCCCACGAGAGCCTTTTCGCCCATCATCATAGGGGAGAGATGGAGCAAGCGGAGTCGCGGACAGTTGCGAGCATAATGCGCGATCCCCATGAGCGGACCTCCGTAAGGACGTTCTGCGTGCTTGATCCTCATCAGACGCGTGTACGGACGAATGACGAGATGGAAGGACTCCAGGTCACGCCAGGCCTCTGCCATGAGACGATGGTCGGACGCTACGCACGTGAGTCTGAGGTAGGTAGGGAGGGTGACGGAGAGGTGGCGGAGGGCATGCAGGGAAAGGAGCGGATAGACGATGTCCATCAGCTTTCCCTCGAAGCGATCCGGCACGGCGGGAATCCTGGGGGGGACACAGCCGGATACCCAGGGCCGGACCGGGCTGGTCGTGAACACCGAAAGGCTAGTGATGGATCCGTGGCGAGAGGCAATAGTGCGGAAACATTGGGCGGCGCCCTCGGCCAGCTCCGCGGCCGGCTTCCCGTTTTCGTGAGCCATTAGGGAGAGTGTGTGCATCGACGGAAGTCGTAGTGTTTCGAGCAGGGCACTGATATCACTCCAGCTCCCTGCAACCTTGAGCGTGGTGAGAGAGCGGAAGGTGAGGCTACAGCTGGGATAGGCTAGCAATGATATAGAGATTGACAGCGATCGCAGAGCTGGAAGCTGGGCGAGCATACCAAGATCTTGGACATCGAGCTGCGGATCCACCTCGATATGGCTCACACGAGAGCAATGCGTCTGCAGTAGAGCCAAGCCGAAGCGGGAGGGCGGGAGGGCAAGGCGGAGCTCCGCAACAATGGGGGCGGCGAGGAATGTGCGGGAGAAGATGGTGCACAACATCTCGTGCCGCTGCGGCGAAGACCACCGACTCTCGAAGGGGAGGTGAAGTCTGTGCACGGTTGGAGAGATCAGGGCGAAAGTGCCGAGGTTGACACTACGCTCGGAAATGCTGCAGAAAGACACCGATTGGAGCATTGGCAGGACTGCGGCACAGTTCGTCGCGGACCGCAATTCATCCCAGAGCCCACACCACTTTGGGCCGTCGAATGCGAAGAGTGTGATGGCACGGACGCGCGAGGCGTACTCCACGAAGCGGGCCCAGTGGGGATGCGCCCGAGGGTCGCCCGAGCAGATCAAGGACTGCAACACTGCAGATGAGAAATGCAGACGTGTGTTCACTCCACCGATATACTCACATAGATGACATCGTACCCTCTAGATTGCTTCCAGAGGATCTTGTATGCTTCTATGCCTACGAAATCAGGGTGTCCTCGGACTTTATAGGTCGGAAGCCGATGACGTGCAGGTTTACGTTCGTCGTGCCGCGTCTCGGTTTCGTGTCGTCTGGCTGCGACTCCAAGGGTACAAAGGAGATCGGCGAGAGGTTGATCGTCAGGCAATTGCCTCCAAAGCACCCTCAATGCTGGAGTCGAGAACCCACGGCAGGCCCTCGCGGCAATCGCAAGCGACCTGCGAGACTCGTACACGGCATTGTCGTCCGAGAGGTGGATGTCAGGGTCGAGGAAGGAGAAAACCTCGTGGAGTATGTCTGGGAGGTCTGCCAAAGAGCGAGAGAACGTGTTGTTCATGGCCGTGGTTCACAGTAAGGTAGAACAGAGTGTCTTCTATATAGATGGGAGGGATTACCGGCAATGAACGGATTCGTGACTTCGTGGGTAAGTACTGGTTTCGCAAGGGCCAGAACAAGCCAGCAGAGATGCGAGAACAGCGACATTAGCTCAACAGGGAACGGCCGGTCGTGTCAAGTGAAAGAAGCTCACCCGATTGGATACCTTGCAGGATCACTCTCCTTCGTTACAGGCTCTCACAACTATGTACCTCCGGAGATAGCAAATCCAAAATATGTGGGAGCCTACTTTCCAAAGGACCAACGGACTCCTGGCGACATGCTCGCAGCGATCGGGAAGTTGATGATAGCAGACTGCATGTACAAGGTATTCGACCACGTACGACATAGATCTGCGCACTGTCTCCCGTTCGTGCGAAGAAGTCGAATACATTCTCTCCATTGGCATCATTCATGTGCGTGTTGCCGTCAACCCAAGGGTGTCTTTCGGTGGGGTGCAACTGGGGGGCGATTACTGGTTTAGGACCGATGCGCCCAGAGGTCAGACATTAGCCCTTTCGAAGATAGAGGCTCGCGCTGTCCGATATGCTCAGCATGTAGCATGTAGCAATGGCGACGTTTGGGGCATAAAGAGAGGGCAGATACTAGTAGGCATTCTGGAGCGACTCCGACTCATCCCACAAAAGCGCCCATCTTTGACGCCGGATCTACGGCCAGGCACGATGGAGTATGTAACACCCAGTACGTCTGGGCAATAGATCTGACCAGTCAGCTAGGATTTATGTTACGGCCGTCAAAGCTAGCCTATTTGCGAAACAGAGCATCGTGTACTTCTCGAAGCGAATGGTCATGTATCCAAATGGAGCCGTTACTGATGATCTCTAGTATCTCATGCTGCAGGACCCTTCGTACGCCTGTCAAAACAAAGCTGTAGCTTTTGCATGCATCCCAGGTGGCGCGATGTACCCTTACAAAGTGCCCAATTATCCTTCATCACGATATGCTCCCGCCTAAAGGCGGATGTAGTCAGCGGAAACACCCCTTCCACTAGCTCCGACACCCCTATCCGACGGGCAGAGCACCTTCGACATGATGAGTGTTTGCAATCCACGACGCTCGTGAGCACATTCGACCGTCTATAAAGTCTCATTCGTGATCTCTATCGCAGGAAGGTGGAGTGTACGAAGCCGCGGGCAGCTGCGGGCGAAGTGAACGATCCCGTGGACGGGACCCCCCATGTGGCCGACTCTCATGCTTTATGATGTAGGGGCGGATGTCCATATGATGAGCTTCTAGCTCGGACCACGCCTCTGCCATGAGGAGGTGGTATGAAGTCGCGCATGAGAGGTTGAAGTATGCCGGGAAAATGACGGAGAGGTCGTAGATGGCATGAAGGGGAAGAAGAGGGCGGATAACGTCCATTAGCTGTCCCTCAAAGGTGTCTCGGACGATGGGGACAAAGACGCAACCTCTTGAGCGTGGAGTGCGGCCAGATTCAGTCAATACCGAGATCCTCGTGATCATTGGGTGTCGAGAGGCGATCGTGTGGAAACACTGGCTCGCACCAGCAGCGAGCTTAGCGGCGGGCCCTCCGTGGTCGTAGGCCGTCACAATGAGTGTGTGCATCAACGGAAGACGTATCGCGTTGAGAAGATATCAAGGGCTGTCCACGCACCTCCAACTGCAAGCGTGGTGATGGAGCGGAGTGCGATACTCGAGTGAGGGACAACAAGGTTGCACAACGACGGTTGAACGAGGTCGACGAGTAGAGGAGGGCCGGAAGATCGCAAATGACCGCTATGTCACTGAGCTGTGGGTTGATGTGAGAGAAATGTGCTTGGATTAGAGTTGGACCGAGGCGAGATAGAGGTAGTGCCAGACGGATCTTTGATATATTAGGGGCAGCGAGGAAAACCTAAGTGATCGTACGGCGCAGAGTGCCATCCCTCCGCTGCCAAGGCCGATCGCTTCAAAAAGGAAAGTCCAGTTTGCCTACGGATGTGGAGATGAGGGCGAAGACGCCGGGAGTCAAATCTCGCTGTGAATAGGACAAGGATTGTAGCATCAGTAGGATGGCAGTGCCGTCCATCGCGAGCCTCAATTCACTCCAAAGTCCACACTGCTTCGGGCCATCGAAGGCAAAGAGAGTGATGGCACGGACTCGTGAAACATACTCCACGAAACGAGTCCATTTGGGACGTGTACGAGGGTCACCCGAAGTGGCCAAGCACTGCAAGAACACGAGTAAGCACAACCTCCGAATCTGCGTAGAGGGGACACTGACATAACCGATATCATATCCTCTCAGCTGCTTCCAGCGGAGCTCGTATTCCTCTATAATGCGAAGAATGGGATACCCGCTCACGTCTCGATTGGGCAACCGATGTCGTTGAGGCCCGTTCTTGTCATTGAACACCTCGTGTACAGGCCCATGTTCTCTTGCGGCGATCCCAAACGCACAAAGGAGGTCGTCGAGAGGCTGATCGTCAGGCAATCGCTTCCACAGCACTCCGAGAGCTGGGCTGGCGAACCCGCGGCATGTCCTAGCAGCAATCGCGAGGGACCAGCGAGACTCGTGCACGATGTCTTTGTTCCAAGAGAGAGCGTCGGTGTTGGAAGAAAGAGAACACCTCGTAGAGGATGTCCAGGAAATGGGCCAACGAGGGAGACTTGGTGCTGGTCATGATTGGGGTTTCTAGGAAAGCTAGGACAGAATGAGCAGTCTCCGACGTAAGCATCTTGTAGCCGGGACCAGGCTGCGAGACTTGAACTGAGGAGGCTAGAGCATAAAAGGAGTGGTATTTAGTCGATTTCCAAATGCGTAACCTTGAAGTTCAAAGACATAAAGAAGCTACTGATAGAATTTTAGAGCTTGCAGAACACACCTTGTGCTATAGCGGGCTTTCGTGATAAACGGCTCCCATGGAGCCATACGGTCTCATACGGTGCGGATGGATGCGCTGCCTCGGGTTCTCTGTCATGGTTGCCACATGGAATAGCACACATGTCGTTCAGCACGTACAGATCAGCCGGCACCAGGACGCCATCCGGCGTTATGTGACTAGACGACAAGAAACTACGTACTAGGATGTAACGGTTGCCAGCTGAGCCCCGTGGAACTGGCCAACAGTTTTGAGACTTCCGCCCTGTGGATACTGATGTCCAGCACGTATGGAGTGCCCAGGGAAGATGAGGCTTTGACCTACTGATCCACAGCGGGCACGGGGGGTATCACTGAGCATCATTGTTGACCGAGGAAGAAGGTGTCGTGCAAGACGTCGCTCACGGCCACCTTTGCTCTTGGGCGCCTCTCAGGCGGAGGTTTTGTCGCGGACGGGCCGGGGCACTCGGCGGTCTCGTATAATTATCGGTGGCTGCAGTTCCTCCGGTCGTGTAGCTATGCAGTAAAGTACCTTCCACCATATGCAAATACAAGTGCTCGTGTAGAGGAGTATTGTTGCTCGAAATCCTGCAGGATTCCTTTGTCAACTCGGTTGTACAGCTTCTTCCTACTGCTAGGTCGTGCTCAACTGCGGCAAGTGAGTGATGCGGCCCAGGGAGACGTTCGCAGATGGAAAAGACAGGGGTAACGTCGCCAATGGTTCCTTTTCGTCCATGTCAACCCCCTCGTGCTCCATCTGCCAGAAAAGATTGTCTATGACTAAATCACGTAGTGTTGGGGGAATCTGCGGGTGGATATCGACGATGGTATCGCTGGTGGATTTGGATATCGTTTGCGGGATGCGGAGACTACGAAGACGGGCGCAGGGGCGTGCGAAGGATGCGACGGTCTCGATGTTGATATCGCGCGTGGCAAAGATAGCGTCGAGGACGAAGGTGAATGCCTCGAGGTCCGGCCATGTGTCCGCGATCCACTCGAAGTCTGAGGAAGAGTGTGGCACGACCGTAGGGCCGGAGAAGCGCACGGAGAAGCGGCGGAGCATACGCAGAGGAGCGAGAGGCTCGAGTAGTTCTGCCAGCGTTGCACGGGTATCGACTGCCCCCCCAACCCACTTCATTTGCGAGCACAGCCAACTGAAGTCCGTGATGGACGGAAAGGCGGCCGGTACAGTCCGAAGGTATTGCGACGACCATTGAGGCATTTGTTCGGCACCTCTTGGGAACTTCACGGTTTGAATTGACAGTGCGCGAAGTTGAGGCGCGTCCACGTGAGCGAGAAAGTTATCTCGCGTAGAATGCCAGCTGCCAGAGACGAAGAGGGTGTGAAGCTTTCGGAAGCGAAAGGGTTCGAGGTAGACAGCTGTTTGGAAAGTAACACGACAGCTGAGCTCCTCAAGATTAGCGAGGGAGATCAGATGCAGGAGATCGGTGGGGTCCGAGGTAAGGGTGTTGACCTTCAGCTGGCATAGCCGCACATGCGATATTGGAAGTGACTTCCAATCCAATAGCGGAAGGACTGACCGTATAGTGAGCTTCTCCACGTTTGGGGTAGACGAAAAGCACACCGCGAAGGCACTCTGCAGCACTTCCTGGATCCGTTGGCGCCGGACTGTGGGTAGTGGTTGAGGATACGTGAAGTCGATAATCAACTTATGTATGCCAGGGTTTGTTAAGGAGAGCGCGCCCATGTCAAACAAACGATCGTCATCCACCGCGCCCTTTATGACCACTGCCTCCAAGCGAGGTAGAATGGGAGTGCATCCAAGGACCAATGAGGTAAGTTGATGCCAAATGGAGTCGTTCAGAAGCCCCGGAGGCGATATCGAGAGATTGCCATGGACAAGCGGATCGACGACGATTTGTCGAACGAGGGAGGCATATTCCTGAAATCGCTTCCAGCCCATATGAGTTTCCGGTTTCAGTGCTCCTGTTCCGCATATACTCTATACTTTATGACATCAAGGGTAGAAAACATTGCATGGAAACGTTTCTGCTTACTGAACAAGACCCAGTCCCACATCCTTCGCCAGTGTGAGTCGAAAGCAGTTGGGCAATGCCGTGAACGCCCGCAGATCTTGAGCGGTCTGTCGCTGGGAAGATACTTCCACAACACGGTCACAGCAGGCCAAGTGAAGTTCCTGTGGACTCGTGCCAGCAGGGCCAAGGTATGGCGAGCGGAGCGAGCCGCATCGGACTGAAGCTCAGAGCTGACGTCGTCATTGTCGGCGACTTGGAGATCAAAATCAAGATACGAGAAGATGTTGTAGAGGACATCTTGCACTTCTGTTAAAGGATGTGGGACCATACTGTGGTGCTGCCAGAGAGGCAGCGATTCTCGGAACGGGCCGAACGGCTGGTCTGAAGTATTGGGCGCCGTTTTGGCAGGGTACCCCGATTTGGTAGGAAGATGAAATCGCCCTTCGCCCTCTGCGACAATGGACCCTTCCGCCCTCTTGGTCCCACATAGAGTCAAATATATAACATAATATGTGGTTCGGTGTACCAGTGTATTGGTGTAACGCTTGAAACAGAATGAGCCAATAGTTCACAATCCGAATTCCGAGCACAAACAACCTACCACATGAGTCGTCGCAAAGCTCACGAAACCGAAGATTGAAACCAGCAACACTCACTCGCAGTCCGACCTCAAGGAGCCCGCGACTCACTTCGACTGGCCACTCATATCTGTACGACTGAACCCAAGGCTCGGGCCCTCAAGAGTATTCACGACTTTACATCGTCGGCGAACGGGTAGTCGATATAACCGTGCGGACTCTCCAAGACATAGAACAACTCTCTATCCCAATCCGTCAGGGGTATGTTCTTGAGCAGCCGCAAGGGGAGATCAGGCTATAGTGTAACAGTTACCATCTGCATGCCATCGACTGCAACACGTGGTGGGAACGGCGACTTACGTTGCTGATGTACGAGCGACCGAATGCGATCACCTGCCCGGTTTCTTCTGCCACCCTTAACGCGGAGTCCCGGGTGTAATCTCCCGCGGTGACGAGCGGCTTCGGGAGCCATATCTTGCGAATGAACTCGTTCGACTGCAACGCAACGAGAGCGGATGAGCGAGGAAGATGGAGATACTGAGCAAGCTCCCGAACCTCTCCTGGTTTAGGCTCTACGTTATTCAGCCCACTGAGCCCAGGCTCTACAACATGTAGGTATGCGAGATTGGGATGATCTGTCGCCAAGCGTGAGACGAGATACTGGAATGTCGGGACCGGGTCGGCCATGCGCATGTCTCAACGGACGTCAACTCCCAATATCTGTACGAGAATGGCAAGAAAGCTCACCCTGGAACGGACTCCAAGGACTAAGGCGAATCGCCGTCTTCGACTCCCCAACAGCCTTAGAAACTGCATCGACAACTTCAAGGGGGAATCTACACCTATTAACGATAGAGCCTCCATACTCGTCGGTCCTTCTGTTGCATGTGTCCTGAATGAACTGGTCGAGCAGGTACCCGTTCGCCGAATGGATCTCGACGCCGTCAAACCCTGCGGAGAACACAGCATTGCGCGCTGCTTGTGCGAATGCGGAAACATACTCCTGAATTTCTGCACACAAGGTCGATCGTAAATACATGCTGCACATCAAGATGCAGGCGTACCATCAACGGTCAAAGGCCTTGGGATGTCCTCCTCTCTGCCGCCAAGAGGCACATCAGACGAGGAGACATACTGGAAGTCGGGATCTCTCTCGCGGATGTATGCGAGACGTGCGGCACGACCGAGAGCCCATATCTGCATGTAGATGTATGACCCCTTCGCATGGACAGCATCCGCCACCTGCAGAAGCCATAACATCAGCATCCCGCCATGCTCCACGCAGTGTGAGGCAGCTTACCCGCTTCCACGCAGCGATTTGCTCGTCATTCCATACCCCGGGAGAGTTGGGACCCCTCCCTTCCGCGAAGCGGGAGACACTCGTAGCCTCGGATATAAGGAGCGTGCCAGGGAACGAAGCGCGCTGAGAATAGTATTCGACCGCGAGTTCTCCGTGAACGCCTCGAGCGTTCGCACGCAGACGGGTGAGTGGCGCCATTACGACGCGATGAGCAAGCTCCAGCTCTCCGACCCTAATGGGCTGGAAGAGCCGGTTTGAGCTAGCGTCGGTATCTGGATTGGCGACTCCGTTCATGATACCTGTTCGGAGAGGTCCGATGGTGGACAGAACTGTGAGGTTGTCAGGAGGGCTTTATAGTACGAGATTGCCGCTTCTGCGGAGATACGGGACACCGATAAGTGTCAGCCGAGGACGAGAAGAGCACGCCAGCTTACTCACCATTTAGCCACAATCGTGTTTCTCCTTCCTTCCTTTGAGGTTTGCAGACCAAAGGATGTCGCCATATGTGCCCGAAGGAGCAGTGTTGCAGAGAAGCAACGCATCACGACAAACTGTACCTTACAGCCACTCGAATGGCCGGCAAGGGACGCAGGAGAAACGAGCGCTGACGCTGCGATAACGAAGCACAAGAGAACAGCGAGGCATCCCTGGGAGGTTGAGCGATAAAAATACACGATGACAGTATCAACAAGTCTACGTACAAACCAAACAAACGAGCGCAACAACAACCCGCGCGAGAGCGTTCGACCTTAAACCCAAAACGTACCCACCACCCGCGCGCACGCCCATCACGTCTGCTGGAGTCCCGGCGTCTCGTAGTCCATCGGCAGGTCCTTCCGCTCCATCCACGCCGCGTCCTCGCTCCCGAAGTCGACGCCCTTCGCACAGTCCAAGCGCCGCCGTGCGGGCAGCTCCTTCAGCTCGGCCTTGTCCTTCTCCTTATCCCGCGCGGCGCCCTCCTTCGCGCCGCCGCTGCGGACGACGACGTAGTGCTCCCCATGCCAGCCGACGAAATCGATCGAAGGGAGCGCGCGGGCGATGCTCCGTGCGTTGGATGCCCACTGTTCCGTCTGGACTTGGTACTCCTTGTCGGAGAGAAGGTTGGGCTGCGGTCTTCGCCTGTTGCTGTCCAGATGCAGCATACTGAGGGACGGGAAGATTTTGAAGGCAGGGGCGTATTCGTGCTGCATAAGCGCATGCACGTTGAATGATAGCGGCCAAAGCCATAGCATGGGATACTACGCACGATAGGCTTGTCAGAAACCGCCGTCTCCAAGTGCAACGCTGCCATCGTGGCCGGCAAGGACGTCAACAGCGCCCTCAGCGACGCCTCAGTCAGGTTCGCGATCCGGACCCTCAGCACGCGCAACCCCGAGAGGTCCGGCAGAACGCCGTGCACGAGATCCCACGGGCAGCTGCCCAGATCCAGCCTGCGCAGCCTCGGCCGCTGGCGGAGGAACTGCGCGACGGACTGGAACAGGCCCAGGTCGTCGTCGTGCCCGACCATCACGAACCGGAACTCCTCCAGGTGCGGGAGGAACGTGTGCACGCCGTCGATGACGTGGTCGCTCCCGAACACGACGCCCGCCGAGCACGGCTCCTCGAACGTCCCGTGCAGCGTCAGGCTCTCGAGTCTGTGCGCGTGCGCGATGCGCGCGAGGACGACGTGCGAGATGCGCGTGTCGACGAGCTCGAGGTGGGTGAGGTTGCGGATCGTCGCGGACTGGAACGCGTGGTCCCAGGAGTGGTTCCGCTGGAGGTACGCGCCGAGGGTGAGGTGCCGGAGCGTCGCCTGGTTTTGGTCGAGCACGGTGCGGACCTCGCCCATGTCGGCGAAGCCGTCGTCGTCCTCTGCGCGGAGGATGAACTTGCGGAGGCCACTGAAGGCGGACTGCGGGGGGAACGGCTCTCAGCTCGTACTGTCACGTAGAAGCAGGCGAGATCATACGCACCACGCCAACCGCATCAAAGTGCCAGCCGATGAGCCCCAGCGTTTGTAGATGTGGATGTGCTTGCAGGACGGCTTGGACCATGTCTGCACGTAGTTCCGGGTATCCAATCCACTCGAACTCCCTAAGCGCAACAAATGCAGGCAGTGCGGACTTGAACATCCCTGCACGCCTCCCATGAGTTATCGTGCACACGCGACGCTTGCACTACTCACTTGTCATGAGATCGAACATATCATTTTCCTCATACGCCCAATGCAGCCTAAGCGCCTTCACGCGGCGCGCGAAGCCCTGGTCCGTCTTAACCCTGTCGAATATGTCGAGTCCGCGGTTCAGGTCTTGGTCTTCCCCAAAGTAGAGGTCGATCGTATGAAAGATGAGGCGAACGGCGATATCACGGTGGAATGCGGAGACGAAGAGCCATGAGCGAAGGTGATATCGCGGGATGAAGCGCGCTATGCGTTCCCAGATCTCCGGAGGTGCACGTTGTGAGGCAGGCTCGTCGACGAAGTGGATCTGTCCAGGTACATCGCAATCAGTCGCGGTGCATTGTGACCAGAGCACAGAGCACAGAGCAGTAACGAGTCGAAGGGATTGATCCCCGGGAGAGTGCAAAACGGCCCTCCGTCCAACGGCATATCGCTCGTCATCCGTCGCACGCGCACCTGCCGGCTCTGCCCCCCTTCTCCTTCCGAGTTCTCTCCCCTTGCTGCTATCCCTTCCTTCGACCTCCTTACGCCTACCAAGGCACAGGCACGGCAAGGACAGCACTCACCATATTGCTCCGCCGAAGATAGCCCTGCAGCTCGCGGTTGGACGGGTCGAGCTTCGCGACGGCCTGGAAGTCCTGCTGCGCCCTCGCGAGCAGCCGTTCGCCCGCCATCTTGCGCGCGTTGCCCCGCGCGAGCAGCGCGCGCGCGACGTCCTTCTTCTCGAGCCCCGGCGTCCGCAGGTACACGTCCAGGTAGCTCTCCACCTCGTCGCCGTACCTGTCCCGCGCGCACGAATGAACAGGCAAACAAATCGTCAGCGTCTGGTGGTACGGCCCTGGCCCGGATCGCCGCGCTGTGTCCGCCATCGTACGAGTGCTCGAGTGCGCGGGCGGAATATAGGGCTGGGAACGGGCAAGAACACGCACCTCCCGCTCTCGATCAACGCCAAGCTCGTCTCGAGCAAGAACCCCGCCTTCCTCGCCGGGCTCAGGCTCTCCACCGCCCCGAACACCGTCATCGTCAACTCATCCTGCTGCTGTTGCTGTTGCATTTGCTGTTGCTGTTGATGCTGTTGTTGCTGCTGCGCGGGCGGGAGGCCGGCCATCGCTGGATTCTGGCAGTGGTGGCCCTGGCTGGTACCGGCAACGATGTGGCGTGTGGGGAACAGGGGCATGGTGCGAAGTGCCTGGGGCAGCCTTCATGAGGTGGTAACCTCCGTATGTGCGTGTGCGTGTGCGTGTGCGTGTGCGTGTGCGTGTGTCGGGGGCCCGCCTCCGCCTTGGCCTGCAGGGTGCGCGTGCTCCGAGGCCACGGGTTTGGGTCGACGTTGTGAGGGTTCGCGTCGCGGCTGGAAGCGGTGCGCAGCGGGGGGCACGGACTGTCGCTCGGATCCGGAGTGCGGGGAGCGAGAGCAGGGGTGGGGGCGCGAGACGATGCCGTGGTCGTGGGCTGGCTGCTTTTATGTGTGTGTCCGCGGGCGAGCGGGTGCTAGCGAGGCCTGGGGAACGGGTTGGAGGAAGTTGCCAGCTGGGGCCCGAGGGAGAGGAAAGAAAGTGCTGGGCGAGGAATCCGGGGAAATGGGAACAGGAGACGGGGAACGAGAGGCTGGAACGGGCGTCGCACCGTGCCAGTGGGACCGCCAGGACGTGTTCGAAGTACGGACTCGGGCTCGGAGGGAATTGTTTTGCTTCACTCGCAACAGAGATACGCACATTGCATAGCAGTCGGAGGTTTTCTATTGCTGCAAGGATCCATCGCTCCATTCGCGGTTGCCCCGCAAATATTCACAGCTCACAACTCGTAAGTGCCGGGTGAACAGTCTGCCACCTCTGTCCTCACGCACGGGCGAGGATGCCATCGCCGAATCCGCTCTGGTGGGCCGCCTGAGCAGAATCGGGAGTGGACGACGAGATGAGGGATGCGCCCAAGTCGCACAACACGGAAATACGACGACCGTCAAAGGCTACCAGGCGTCCGTGAATGCGGATCCAGTTCACCCACGCCTGTTCGGAAAGACCAAAACAGCAAGATAATAATGCTCGCGGCGGGAGGTTACAGCCTTGTTCCGAAGAGCTCGTCTCCCATACACAAAATGTACATCGTGCGGACGTAGCGCGCGTGGGAACTACCCAGGCCATAGCTATAGAAACATTGGCAGAGTGCTAAGCTGTACACTACAAGCAGCACGACAGACAGCGTGAAAGCGATGACAACAACACAGACCTCAGAAAGGCGGGAATGTAACACGAATCATGCGTCGAAAAACGCGCGATCGGATGCAGCAGTCCGGCTTCTGACCAACAAAGAGACTACACACAACAAGCCGAGTCTTAAACGAGGGTGGGGTGAAAGAGGGTGGCCACACTAGATGCTGAGGGTATCCAGAGTGTTCACTGTCCATATTCAGAGACATTCGGAGCGATTGGGATTCAGGGGTTGCTGCACAAGGTGAGTGAAGAGGGCGAGAGTTGCGCCGAGTGGCGGCCACAGCTCCCGGGTATGCTCAGTCGGCTCGGGCTCAGTCCTCACAAGAGGAGAGCAGAGAGGGATGCGACGGCGCAGGCGGCGATAACGCCGAAGATGCCACCGGTGGAGGTCAAGGAGACCGCACCGTTGCTTCCCGCGGATTGGGTCGAGCTGCTGGAGCTAGAGCTGCCGCTGCCGCTCGCGCTCGAGGGCGAGGTAGCGCTGCTGCTCGCAGCGGAGCTAGAGAGCGCCGCAGTCGGGCCGGGCTGAGCTATTGAGGGCAAAGATATGCGTGAGACACGATAGCACGGCCGGATGTAATGTGTACGTACAACCAGGGGGCTTCACAGTGAAGGTAGAACTGTTGGCGAAGACGTCGGTGTGGTTCGTGGTGTTGACGAACTGGACAAGGTAGCCGTCGCCGGGACGCAGCGTCACGTTGGTGCTATGGGCAACCTAGTCAGTGTCTGATTCTAGAGGTTTCGGAGTACAGCCCGTCGAGTCGTCTGCATCGAGGTGGACATGCTTTGCGATCTTAGCCGCAGTCACAATTTGACGGGCGCTCCGAGTCAACTCGTCTTCCCCGCCTCGCCTGTGACGCTCTCCGGAGATAGAATGTGCTCGAAAGTCGCCGTTGCTTCGGAGCTCCGACAAGCAGACAAGGGCCCAAGGCCACGTTGTGAAGGTGCCATGCATACTGGAAAGCGTGCACTTACACAGTGACAGTCTGTGAGGCGAGAAAGGTCAATGTGGCCGCCACAGAGAGCAGTGGAGAGTCTATCTCACCTGCTGAGATATGTTGACGAATTGGGCGATCGAGAAGGCGCCGTTCAAGGTTGCGTTGTTCGAGTTAATGACAACGATGTCGATGGGGCTGGGGTCGCCCTGGTTGAACTGCCAAGTGATGACGTTGGTCTGGTTCTGGACCCTACACGGCCCCCTTCAGCAAACAGTCCAGGCTCGAAGGCTCGGAGTAGCAGGCCACTCACCAAAAGTCGGTCTCGCTAGGGCCGAGGATGTTGATCGCGTCTGGCCGCAGGGAAGTTCGAAAATCAACCATTTGCACGGAAGCACTTCCTTGGCTGGGAAACCGACTTACTAGCGACGGCGATGGGAAGCGCAAGAGCGACGAGCTTGAAGGAAACCATTTTGACTGTGAGCAAGGAGTGGTGCGCCTGGAAAGGCTTGTAGCAGCGGGCGGAGAGGGGGGGGTGGGGGACGGACAGGCAAGAGAGAGAGACCTCGAGGGCGGCAACACGGCAGGGGGTGAGCTTTTTATTCTCATCGCTGTCTGCCTTCTCTTCCCACGGCGCTAGTTCTATACAAAGCCATTCCTTCCACTTCTGCCAACGTCGGCACTTTCCGGACGTAGCGTATGCCATTGCCCGTGCGCCAATCGCGCGCACTGTCTCTGCTGTGATCCTCCATCATCGTCAGTTCTGCTCTCTCGTCTGCTGTTTGCTTGTCATGCAAATCTGTTCACAACCCTCCCCTCAAGGGTTGTTACATATACTGAAGATGCAGTCAAGTGCAGACGATAGTGACGTAAATGGACAGCCTTGAGCAAGTACACTCTAGAATCCCGGAAGCCTGATTCCCGGGAAACCCTCCGAATCCCCTCGAAGGGTGCAATACGCCATCTCCCGCAAGCCGCAAGTAAGCCGCGATGCCCAGTTGGTCTTGTGCACCTTTCGCATCACAGAAGCGTATGAAAAGTGCGGTCGCCGTCATACAAGGGTCACCGCTACGTACGGATCAGTCTTCGGGGCGGCGGGGGCGGCGCATCTCCCGTCGACACTCGCCGCCACAATATGTAGCATTCGAGATGCTCTTAGCCAGGTCCCAGTACGTGGCTTTCTTTTTCTGAACAATGTTGCTAGAAGACAACTTTCACTGATCTCACGTCGACGTTCCGACGTGCATATCATGTCGGAGTGAGCGTGACGACGCCTCACGCACCCATTTGTTCTGAACTATTTCGATCTGTCTCCCTTGTCGGATCCTCGTACTTGCGTTATCTCCACGCTCGCGAGGGAGGGTACGATCTAAAATTTCCAGTGTGCTCATGATCACACGGACACACACTCCCATGTCGACAACGGGTCCCACGACGCCGCATGTCGCAAATCTCATCCACTTACTATATAGGTGTCCTGGGAGAAGGCTCCGCCGGCCCACATATATACCCCCGTGGACTAAGTACTCCATATTCTCCCGCCCTCACAACTTGAGAGAGCCACTCCAAGCAATCCACCAGGCATCGCTGAATCCTGAGTCAAGAGCCCAACTTTTCCCGCATTCATCGTACAACATGGGCTCCCTCGACGCGATAGCACCTACCAGCCCGCTCTTCCAGCCCGCGAAGGTCGGCGACATCACGACGCTCCACCGCGTCGTCCTCGCGCCGCTCACGCGCTGCCGCGCAAACAACAGGCACGCACACACCGACCTCGGCCGCATCTACTACGAGCAGCGCGCCTCGGTCCCCGGCACGCTCCTCATCGCCGAGGCGACGTACGTCTCGAAGAACGCGGGAACCTTCTCGCCGCACGCGCCTGGAGTGTACACCGAAGAGCAGATCGAGGGCTGGAGAAGGGTGCGTGCGCCTATCCCCTATAGATTGAATCGAGAAGGTTGGGAAGGCTCATGAGGTAGGATGTGTGCGTGTGTGTGTGCGAGTGTAGATCGCGGAAGCGGTGCACAAGAGAAAGTCCTTTATCTTCATCCAACTCTGGGCACTAGGCCGCGCTGCCCTTCCTTCAGCGCTCGAGGCCGAGGATCCTACCTTGCCATTCGTGGCTGCCTCGCCCATCAAGCTCAGCGATAGACCCAAGGATGAAATAACCCCTCGGGCGCTGACAGTCCTGGGTACGTCCCCCACTCAAGCTCTCATCGGTCATCTCCTAGTCCTGAACGTCGCGTCACAGAAATCAAGCAGTACGTACGTGACTTCGCGGAGGCAGCTCGGAACACAGTGCACGGGGCAGGATGCGACGGCATAGAGCTCCACGCCGCGCACGGATACCTCATCGACCAGTTCATCCAGGACGTCTCGAACAAGCGCACGGACGAGTACGGGGGCTCGATCGAGAACCGCTGCCGCTTCGCGCTCGAAGTCGTCGATGCCGTCTCAGAAGCCATAGGCGAGAGCAAGGTCGGAGTGCGGCTTAGCCCCTGGAGCACGTTCCAAGGTACACATGAGATTCTCCTCCCCAAAGCCCACGCCGCGCGTCTGACGAAGTGTGCGATTGCCAGATATGCGGGAGGAGAACCCGGTGCCGACGTTCACCTACCTCGTTTCGGAGCTCGTCCGGCGCCACCCCAACTTGGCCTACTTGCACGTCGTCGAGCCCGGTCTCGCAGGTGCCTCGGACATCGACGCCCGTGAGGGGGAGGTGCGTCCACATCTGCCGAGGCTTGAGCATCCCGCGTCCGTTCTGACCGTATGAGCAGTCGAACGATTTCTTGCGCAAGATCTGGGCTCCGCGTCCCTACATCGCCGCGGGCCGGTTTACGCGCGAGAGCGCGATGAAGCTTGCGGACGAGACGGGCGACCTCATAGCGTTCGGGCGGCGGTTCATCCCCAACGTACGCATACCTCGCGTCGTGTCCTGCCGTCTGGGTAGCCTGACGATCGCCTGCGGGGCTCTTACAGCCGGATCTCCCTTTGCGCCTCTTGAAGAACCAGCCGTTAGCGCCATGGGAGAGGGGCAAGTATCAACTCCCCGAGAGTCCGTCTGGGTACATTGACTATCCGTTCGCGGAGGAGAATCTGGAGGAGTTGGGTGTGGAGCAGGTAAAGCAGTATTCGTAGATCAATCGACTGGCGGAATGAGATGTCATAAGGCTGGACGATGGGAAGGTCGCAGCCGAACGTTGTGTTGCTGTGATGTAGAGTATCCTACCGTTGGAATATATGACAATACGTCGGCAAAACAGTGTCGAGTATGGTGGGTCGTGGACACGTCCGGGATTGAACCGGACCCCTCTCGCAAATACTCTGCTAAGCGAGCGTGATAACCAACTACACCACGTGCCCTCATTTTCCTAAACACAACTACTGTGTGGGACCACGGCGTCTTAATGGGGTGAATCAGTTGCGATATCAGATATTAGTAACGCTTAGAATCCAACCTCGGCCTCGTCACAGACCACCTATCCTACGTACACTCTCACCGTGAGTCACTGCAGCTATTTGAGTTCTGGAATGTTTGATGTTGAAGGTGGATGGTGCTCAGGTTGACAGCCCGGAATTTCGAGATCACTGTGAATGTCGATAGCGAGGCGAAGAACGACACTGCTCCGGGTCATACCAAGTATAAGTGCAGTCCAGCGCAATAGAGTTTGGTGAGTCAGTCGCTGTACATATAGACAAATGCTACGCTCTTTATCACTCTGTTTGATACAGCCAGTCACTCTTGCGATGTATGAGTTGGTTCCTCTTCGTCCTCCGTGCTAATGCTCATCACGTTCTCAGCCCTGCCATCCTCCTGCCTGATATAATCATCCATCGTTATCGAGGCTGCCAGTGATCCGATTACCCGCTCAAATATCACCGAGTTGTTGAGGTCCATTGATGAAACCTGCGAAGAGGCCATAGAGCCCGCAGCCCGGAGACTTGCGGACTGTAAGTGCAGGAGGAAGCGTGAGATGAGAACGGCGGTCAGTCTATAAACCAGGGTTTGAGTCGTTCATCAAACCTTCATAAAGTAATAATCGATGACACGTACGGTATTGTATAATTGGTTATGACGCTAGTTATTTGCATCGCGGGCTCAGCAATCTGTCTTCTGTGAATATTCAATAGTCCATTTTTTGTGCTGGAGGCGGACATACTGAAAGATAAGTGAACGTCAAGTGCAGAGTGTTCAGGATAGCGAGTATACTAGACGAGGTATGAGTTAGTAATTATCGCAGGTCGAAGGGGTACGACTCGCAGAAAATAGATTGTGCCTGGATCATACTCGATGAGCATTGTACATACGTGAATTGCACACCCAACTTGCCAGTACTCACCATCATTCAAAAGAACACTCGAGATAGACTCCTTGATCATCCCTGCTTGGCGAATGCCATGAGATCTAGCTAGTGTGTACCACGTTGCACCGATGGCAATGCAGTCTGCCATAAGCAAGCTTGAACGAGACACAATAGTCACTAAAGTGTTCACTTGTGAATATGGACGAACCGAGGTATGACCGTATATCTTACATCTATTCAAAAGAAGCAAATATCAGTCCTGGATGCTTCACGGTTGAGTGAGCGAGTAAGTACTGACTTCTTCACAAGATCGGTGGGCTCATTATCCAATGAAGTGCATCCAACAGGAAAGACGTTCCTGCCTGTTAGTCCGTACCCAAATACAACCTATCAGACTGTTAGCCGATAGCTTACGATAGAAACATATCGTGTGGCGAATTAGCCTACAAAGCCGACAACGGTAGGCGCTATGGACAAAATGAAGGTCGCAGAGCCGAGAAGCAGGCTTCTTCGGAGGGCATGAACTCGCATGGCTGAAAACGCTAGCAGACCCCAAAAGTTGATACAGTTCCTAATATGACTACAAAATCATCAATGCTTACCTCCTTGGACTAGATAGGACAAGTAATATAGCGAAGAAATACCGATCATAGAAGAAGCACAGCTACACGGGCATGAAAGTCCTTGTCATCGGTCCTATACCGAAGAAATGTGTCTGCAATTGACTGACCTCTGGTGAAGTTAGAATACCAGCCATATCAGAGTTGACTCTGGTCAATGTACTAATATGTATGACCTACCGTGTCTGATATTTTGAGGAAATCGCTCCCAATGGCCCAGCACAATGAAAGCATCGTTATGTACTTGTTAAGCCAGAATATAATCGCTCCACCGGTGACTTTTCGACCCCAGAAACATCGTATTTCCTCAGGGGCGGTCAGGACTGAATCGTAGAGAAACACCACTGTCGTGAGGAAAAGGAAGCACTCAGCATATAGGGCCTTCTGTTATTTCGACTCTTGGGTTGAGATACCTGTTCCTGTGATGCCGCAGTAGCTTCCTAGTGTACTTCAGGGTTCAGGATAGTCATCAGTGTCTAATTCCCAAGAGGGACACAACCATATGGTCAAGTATGACATACTTGAGAGCGATTATTGCTGTGATCTGTTCAGACTGTAGGGAAGTCATGGCTTTCAGAGCTAGGGGTTGTATACAAGGGCCGTGCGAGGTCGTTCGGAAGGCAGGGAACGAGAATTTATAGGCCATCTGTCTAGCGTTACAGTGCTTGATCGTTTGGCAGCTCACCTCGTATACGGCATCTTCGAAAACTTATATCAGAGAGAAGTGACCCACGCCTAGCTTGAAACTCAGACCCTATCATTGACCGCAGTGACTCATTGCTCAATGATAGTGCCGAGAGCTGGAGGGCGTCATTACGATAACAGATTGGAAGAAAGGAGGACTGGGACGACTGTGAGCTAACATGTCACAAGCACATCATGGCTCGGGCTCACTGCACTAGAAACCGAGAAGCAAAAGTCAGGAAGGATGAGTTCTTAATGGCGACCTATGACCCGATAATCTGGGCAATGTGTGTATCATGGTTACGCAGTAATTGGAACCAGGCAAAACGATATCCGGTAAAGCTGCGGTCCGAAAAATGTGCCTTACTGCGACGCCTTCAACGTACGACTTCCGACGCCGCCGCTGTCCGTACCTTCGCGCTCAGCCTCCCGGCTCGGAGCGCTCACGACGACTATATTTTGATTGTCTCGAGATGAGGTCGGAGGCCGATCGGATAGCGATTCACGTCATGTTGCGGCTCCGGGTCGGTGTGTGGGGGAAGCGTACGAATTTACTAATGCGCATACACAAACCACATAGGCAAGGTTGGGGCGCTCCAGCTGAGGGACAAGACAGGCCCGGTGGTTCTGGGGGAGACGCTCCGCACAGTCTAAGCTCCCAATCAGCTGCATGAGTCAGATCGGTGTTCGCAGCTAGTGTTGGAAAGCTGCTCACATGGATACATCATCACCTCGTCAGCAACATGATTGACGTCGAATGTCTTCTAGAGGAAAACATTGTGATAGGTCTACGCGACCGAAGCTACCTTAGTACCTAGCAGCGACAGTATCGGGACGGAGTCCTGCAGATCTCTCCCACTGTGTATAGGCCACCAGAGAAGTGTAGCATCGCTGCCCGCTATTGAAAGTGAAGCGGACGAGTGCGTTACAGAGAGGACAGCCATACTCCAACGGTGAGAGTCTGTGGCATGGGATTCGGAATGAGTGGTCAGCTGAGCAAATGGGCTGGCAGAGACGTATTTAGCGCCTATCAAGCTCATGGCCAACGTCTCATCACACTATTATCTGTGAAGTCCAAGCGGCCATCGCGCACTCCCTTGAGACATATATCGCCCTGCCCAACCTCGAGAGACGAAAGGCTAACAGACAATCAAGAGTCTGCTACGATGGTTTTACATTGCGAGATCCCCCGCGAGCGACACATGGACAGATCGTGATCATGATAGTACACAGCGAGCAACAAGCGATAAGCAGCGGACTCCCCAGCCACTTCTAGCGGGTGCATCTACGCGCTCGGACTTAAACCTGGCTGAGGGGCTCGTACCCGCTCCGACTCCGCCCGCCAAAGCCCAAGCCCATCATGAGCTTGCTCCTCAACGACGACTTGCGCCCGCCCTCGTTCGCGTGCAAGTCCTCGCCCTCCTCGCGCGCCCTTCTCCGCTTCGCCTCCTGGAAGCCCTCGAGCGGCACATCGTACAGCCTTTCGTACTCCACGCCCAGTTCCCGCCCCGACGTCCAGAAGTCCTTGCAGTTCCCGATTATACCCAGATCGAAGGGGTTCGGAGCCTTCGCCGCGCGCGCCAACCCGTCAGCGGCCTTGCCCTTCGTGAACCGGTCGAACCCAAGGAGGCTCATGAGGAAGCCGCTACCGCACCCTGCGCACATGCTATGATTGTGGCGGTGGTGTGCGTGCGCGCTGCCGCTTAGGCTGCCCTCGGCGCCGACGGAGTCGTCGGTGGGAAGGTGGCGGTGGCCCATTTGTCCGTGGAGGGTCGCGCCGCCGCGCCCGCCCATGAACCCGAAGCGGCCGAGATTGGAGACCTCGAAGGTTGTCATCTGGCGTGCGACCTGCCAGAGCTGGGAGCCAAGGAGGACGAGCGTCCAGGAGAGCTGCAGTGTTGACCACGCGGCTACGGAGAAGAGGAACGTGTCGTATGCAGTTACGGCGCAGAGATAAGAGGGGAGAATGCACGAAGGCGAGATGCTGGCCGGGTCCGTTGACAGCGTTAGGCTGGAATAGTCTGTGAAGCGAAACGGGTCAACGTAAAAATCAGGAACAAGTCGGACTATACACGGATAGTGGTAGCGACGTACACTCGAACGTCAGGTAGTCGAACAGAATGATGCCAAGGACAAGGGTCATAACGAAAATCAGGAATTGACGGTGATTGTTCACACCGACTGCTCAGTCTTGTTAACCGACAGCCTATTGAAATCAGCAAGGGAATACGTACTACAGTTCCATACCCACGGACAATGGCTGCGCGTAACGGGGTTAACGATAGTGTCAGATATCTGGTAGGATACTCACTGGTCATGACGTGCGATGCAACGATCACAAATACGACAATGCTTGGATCTCAAGGGTTTGCGTGCCTTAAGGGTACCGTCAAGGCCTTGTCTCGGTACGACTGTGACGCCCACGTACCATGCACTGGATGCAGAAGGTCTGACCGTTCAAGCGACCTTGGGAAGCCAGCTCTTCGATTATCTGTCGGCACCATTCAGTCTGCAAAATAACAACGCGCGTTTAACGATCCTACAGTTTTCAATTCCCCGTCGCTAGCCGGCTTGGGGCAAGTACCAGGGTCCAAGCTGATTGCGCGGAAGAAGTTGTAGGCACAAAGGCCGATGGTAATGGCGAGAGTAAGGTGAGTGAATGCATGCGACTCCGTCTCTGTTGCAAGCTCGTGAGTTCATCTCTACAGAGATAGGCGCAGGCGAACGTACGATTCATGAGGCGAGTGACCCAGGCGTACGCGACCCAAATCATTGAGGCGGTGATGATACCAGCGAAGTAAGGGCTCTGTGTGACGCTGTCGGTGTAATTTGATTTGTCCAACAGGACGCGCGTTACAATCTACCTCATGTAAGCACGTAGCGATGCTAAGCCGCTAAAGCGCAGGACTTACGTGGTGCATCCCGAAGAACAGCGCCATAGCAAGAATTATACCGGTATACCATGGCAGTATCGTAAGAGTGGTAAACATCAGGAAGAGAAATAGCGTCGGCATGGTGAATATGATGATCTTGGTATTTCTCTGCGCATTGTCAGGGGCTGGGCTGGCCAAGGGAGGGGAGATAGTCGTGTACTCACGTCGCTAAGAGGTTTCCGCTTCGGCACCCCATCCTCTGTGAACCCACCTTCCTCCAACGCCCGCTTCCATGCACCCAGGCTCTTCAGCTCCTGCGCCATGTCCCGCGCCGTCCTACCTTCGTTGTCCTTCGCATGTACATCCGATCCCGCCTCCACTAGCCTCCGGATGCACATCCGGTTCCCGCGAACGACCGCCCAATGCAGTGGGGTGAGACCAGTATCGTCCTTCGTGTTCGGACTAGCACCATGCTTCAGCAGAAGCTCGACAGAAAGCGCGTCACCCTGGTACGCCGCCCACATGAGCGACGTGTGTCCCTGCGAGTCCCTCGCGTCGACATTGATCGGCTGGTGCAGGAGATACAGTAGGGCCATGACCGACGACGAGTGCGTGACAAGGTGCAGCGTGTTGTACCCCTGCGCGTCGGCGATGTTTGGGTCCGCATTGTGCGAGATGAGCAGCTGGATGACATAGAGGTACCCATTGCGCGCGGCCCACTGCAACGGGGTCGCAACGAGGTCGCCGCCTAGCGCGTCGACCTCCGCGCCCTGGTCCAACAGGTAGCGGCATGCGGCGACCTGAGCGTTGATCGCCGCCCAGTGGAGGGGCGTGATGTTCTGCTCGTCGCGGTCCGTGGCGTGCGCCTTGCCCGACTCGATGAGGTGCCGGATCGTGTCGACGTCGCCGCGTTGGGCCGCCACGAAGATGTTGGACTGCTTCAAGGCACGAACGAAGTGAGATATGAGACGTACCACAGAGAGATCGTCATGTCGCGAGAAGTCCGGTACGCACGTCAGGTTCCGAGACTGTCTGGAGAGCTTGGGGAAACGTCATCGAGCCTGCCGACGCTGTGGAGGCTGTCACTGCAGAGGCGGAAGGCTCGCCCTTGTTGCTGACGAGGTCGTCCATCGCTGTGCGATGTGCGCAGTGGTGGTTGGAGGAATGGAGAGTGCAGCCCGCTGCGGACGGGGAACGTGGTGAAGGCCGTGGATAGGTATTTCGGGACGCGCGTTTGACGCTCGGCAACACAGTGGGCTGTACATCTCAGGCTGTGGCTTCGTCATGGCCTCAGTCATTCCATATCCGTCCTCTTTTTAGGCTGACCGTTCCTTGTGCAATCGCTGCAGAGAGAGCATGGCGAGTCTGTGGTCAGCGTCCGGAGGTTATACTCATGAGTAGCAAGACGACTAACATCCTCCGAGTCATGGTTGCGTTCGCACGCAGTGAAAAAGAATGAGAGGAAACCGACATAGATTACCTCGTACGCCGAGCACGCTGGGCACACCGAGGGACATGCTCTTTACAATTCTTTTTGCATTTCGTTTGATACTGCAACAACACAACAAACCCCCCGGACTAGCGACACAAGCATGACAAGGACATGATGAGAGTAAATGATACATCTAACGGACAAGAAGCAAGCACTTTTACTTGAACTATGATAGGTTGGCGAGATGATAAATGTCAGAATGCTCTGCCAGAGGCTGAAAGTCGGTGAAGGAAGACTTACGTTCTTGCCGTCCACCCACTTCTTGCCGTCGACCTCGAGATCCCATGCGAGTGCGGCCTCGAAGAACGCCTTGTCCTCGGGGTTGTTCAGGTCCAAGCGCTTGTACTCGTACGATTCCCAGTCGGGGGCGACATCCACAACGGGCTTAATATCCTGGCCGCGCGCGATGAGCACGCCAGAGATGATCGAGTTGTTGGTCTCGCCAAGGACACCCATCGAGCCAAAGAGGTACTTGCGCGACGCCTCGAGGCGGTTGAAGAAGCCGCCGATCTGGTTCGACGACATGAACGTCTGCGTGAGCTCGTTGTTGTACTTGAAGTCAACGCGCCAGACAGAGAAGCCCTCGGGGTCGTAGCTACAAGTGTCACGATATGAGCCAATTGGGAGCAATCATATGCGAATAAGAGGTACATACTTCTGGTAGAACCACTCGAGAGCGCCGTCGGGCCCACGCGTGTCTTTGTTAGAGTACGCGCGCTTCCAGTCCTCGAGGTTGAACGAGGACTTAGGGAGTGAGTCAAGGGGGTTCTTCGCCTTGGGCTCCTCCTTGGGGATGTCGTCCTCCTCTTCTTCCTCCTCTTCCTTCTTCTTCTTTTCCGCCTTGGGGGCGGGTGCAGCGGCGGGCTTCGCCTCCTTCTTCTCCTTGGGCGGAGGAGTGAAGGCGAGCGCCTTCTCGAGGTATTGCAGCTCGCCGTAGATCTCCTTCAACTGGGGCTGGTTGACGATGGTCTCTACGTGACGGATTACGTTGGGAATTTGGGCGCGGATGGGAGCGTCAATAGTGACGTTCATCGCACGCTGGATCTCGGCGGCAACGGTGAGGTCAGCGAGGGAGATACGCTCGTTGACGAGGAAAGTGCGGGTGGCAAGGATGGTGTCAAGGGTCTTCAGGGAACGGAGCTGGCGCTCAGCGAAGTGGGTGTGGACAGGCTTGGTGTAGGGAGTGATCCTGCCGTTAACGAGACCGAAGATGACACCAGTGAACGAACCAATCTCGGAGTCCGCGAACGAGACCCATTGGTCAACGAGGGCAGCCTCCTTTGTGCTTGTACCAAGGAGGTTAGAGTTGGGGGCAAGGGAGGCGACTGTTGGAAGCAATCAGCAATTGTTCAGATTGTATGAATGCAACGACGATCAGATGTGTATGCTGTCGACATAAGGATTAAGACAGGGATAACTGATGATAATTCTCGTCCTTTCGTTCGTTGATAGAAGATGATGTAAGATCGGAATGCACTCGACTCACCGTAGCGGGCGATGGCGGAGCCCTCGAAAAGCTTGAAACCATCCTTGCCCTCGAAGGCAGGAATTTTTCCATGAGGGAACTTAGCGAGAAACTCGGGCTTCTTGTTGTCCTCAAAGTGGACGTAGTGCTCAGGCAAGTCGACCTGAAGTCCGCCAAGGGCAGCAGCAGCGCGGATCTGCGAGTACGAGTGAAATCGGGTGAACGACCACTTCGCAGCAGTTTATACAGCTTGGTACATACGATCTTGCCCTTCCCCTGTTGAGGCGTCGTCCAGAGAGTGCCGATTGAAGACATTTTGTGTTTGTGCGAGTAAGGAGGAAAGTGTGGAGAGGTAAGTGGGAGACTGCGATCTGCAAGATTTTTCGTTATCATGGGCACATCCTGAGCCACGTGAGTAGATCTGCTTCAGGGGAGGCTCTGTCCTCTCGTCGCTGGGCCAGTGGGCAATGGGCTTTTGTTATCCAACCACCATCTTGTCCTCCAGATTGCAATCTTACATCGACGTCCTGATTTCAGCGATTGCGGGGCTGTCGCCATGTCCCATCGTGGCCCACTGTGAGAGCTAAGCGGCCCGACTCACAAGCGTTCGGATTATCGGTCCAGGTGAGCATGCCATATTCAATACTGGTTCTCTGCTGCGCGCCCCTTCATCTGGGGACACTTCGCTGTGGAGCTTCTCTGAGCGTGACGTGTCGTAAGGCAACGCTGCCGTGGAAAGGTTCGGTGCAGGCAATGACCTCAGGACCTTAGAAGAGACATCTACCAATGTGGGCTTGATCTCTTGAATATGGAATCCCCCTTTCTACGACAGAACCGTATCGTCTGGCCTCTCTAAGGTCGCAAGGTGCGCTACGCACATCACTTTTGCCAGGCGCGAAGTCGACCTCTTCTTCCTAGGCCATATCTTGCGTCCGTGGGGGAGTGTTGGGCTTTGGGAACATCAATCTATGCCTCTGCATGCCCAACACTCCACGTGCCATAGTCCTGTGGCTGCGTCGTGTCTGCCGTCTTATGACGCTTCCGTCCGTTAGCGCGTAAATGCTACAGCATAAGTACTGTCATTCTGTACTCAATTCGGAGTACAGCATCACGATCCAAGGCTCCAGCTTTAGGCTAAGGTGTGACGGCATTCGAACGCGTGCAGCTACCTCAGACGCCTAAGCAAAAGTCAGATTGGCGATAAATGTCTCCCACATACTCGTCAGGGCGTCGAGCGTTGATAGTCACAAGTGCTCTCTGCCACAGTTGCGAAGTGTGTAGAGAGCACTTCAGGCACTTCCTGAAGGGAATCCTGTACGTATGAGTCCAGGCACCACGGTGTGTCCTGTGTTGCGTGGTTTTTATTCGCTACCTCGTAATAGGGCTATCAGCGGGAGGGAATCGCTGTGAAGTCTATTGTGGCCACTTGAATTCTCGATGCTGCGAGCAGCGCTTGTTACTTCTCCCGTCTTCGTGAATGGCACCAGGGTGCTCCTCTTCGCTTCGCAACACACATCTGCTACATTGTAAGCACATACTCCACCGGGGTTAGGGGACTTGTCGAGCTTCAAGTAAGCTTCGCAACTTCGATCGTCCATCGTACGAGGGTAGTTGCGCATCCTCTCAGGTTGACTGGACAGTGCCTTATATGGTATCATTTCATCTCTGTCTCAACAGGACCAAGAATGAGAACAATCCGCCACCAAATCGGCATTCATAGATGGGCGCAAGAATACCCCTGTACTGTTTCATGGTATGCACCCCCCAGACCCTCTGGTTTGTGTGGGTGACCTATTCATGCAAGACAGCGCCACAGGAGTATTCGGAGCACGAAGACATTGACAAGTCTCGATGCTCGTTGATACAGTTGATTATCTTATAATGAATACTCTAATAATGCATAATATCTCATAGTGGATAGCCCGAGGCCGCAACCGACATGGTATGCGGGGAATTATGCATGAAATCTCATATCTAATAATGAATAAAGTAATCGGGCATATGCACTACTGGATTTTCCTTTTTGGGTATAATTCGCGAGCTCAGACCCACCGTGAGGTGCTAAACGAGGTCTGTCTGGATCCTTTTAGAGGTGAAGCTCCCAGGTTATGCCCAAATTTGTACCTGGTTGAGGGATTATTGCAGATCCAACCGCCAAATTTCTCCCATATCCTCCATGCCCAAGTCTGAAGCATAACACCCGGACACTCCCTCTGAAGCCCTATGCACATGCACGGAGCCCACTCATGCTCCTACAGTGGTGGAGAAGGAGGCAGCTAAGCAGCAGGCTAGTCTGGAAAGGTTTTGGACGAAATAGCTGTTTGTCATCACGCATGGGAACAAATAGTGTGGTCACGCTACACCGTAATGTCACGAGTATCACAAATAGTCACTTCTGTCACATGTATGTGACAATCCAGTCATGCATAATATCTCATAGTGTATGAGGAAATGGCGCAACGGAGTCTATTCATTATTAGATATTCAACTGTAAGTCCATGAGGAGCTGCTTCGGTTCCGACACTGAGGACTGCCTGAGTCTGGAACCGGTGCCTCGCTTCGTTGATGTTCCGACAACAATCACATACAGTGAGCGGTAGGCGCGGGAATATGGACAGCTCGCGTAGTGCATCTTAGTATACTGAACGTCCATCATTGGGCGGTGTAGGCGCCAATGGTGACATTCCAAACCCTGCTGCACCTAGTGGACAGTCGACGAGCTGCACCCTTCTCTCGGGACGCTCGTCGCTGTCGAAAGCTACGTTACCAACTCACATGCACCCGCCTAAGCGGAGCCGCATGATGTATATCATTGTCGCCCTTCTCACGAAAGCTACTAACGCAACTAGTAGGATTCGTCGACGAACCGGGCTCGTAACTTATACTGTTACACGCGAACATTGAGCAAAAGGAACATCGCGGCCCTGGTGTGATCCGTTATCTCGCTGACATCTTCTTGCGCCATTTCAACTTCGAAGTGGACTATCATCCATCAGACCCAATGCACATGGCGCGTACCCGGGCCCTGCATTCAGGCTTAGTAGCCGTTCGACATATAGGCTTCTGTACCCGCAATCTATGGTGTTCGATGCGTGTATACCTTATTCCCGTTAGTCTGTCTCTCATCTACTCTAGACAGATCTGTCTTGGCCCCCGGCCTTGGAGTGCTACGACCAATGATCGACTCGGTCAGCGTAATGCAATGCGTGTCCGTACACTAACTCCGCTGATTCCAGGACTCGAAGCAGGGACCGCACGTCACGCCATTGAACATCGTGAGATGGCTCGCTACGGTGCTGTCGGCGGGATTGACCAAGATCCTCCATGAAGGTACGCGATACTGGTCCTGAGTATCGAGCGACCCCCCTGCGCCTATAAAGCTCGTCGCACATCCGGGTCTTCTCTCCGTGGCCCACTCCGCTCCCTACATCCTCGCTTCCCTTCTCTCTCGTAAGGCCTGCATCACCATGCTTCCTCGGCTATCCCATGTTCTCCTCGCTGCGCTCGCACTGAGCCGCACAATTCTCGCCGAGCCCTCGGACGACGATCAGCTCAAAGCGTTCTTCGCTAGGGAACGCGTAGCTGTGAAGCCGGTGAACTTCGGCAGGCGGTCTGCTGCTACTACCCCGACCCGTCATCTCCGTCCTGAGGCATTCGAGGATGAAGCCGCACTGCGAAAGCGTGACTCTATTACCCCTCCGGATGTTGGACAGGTTGCAGATTGGGGAGGCAGCAATCCCCAGCCTGTCCGTAACGGAGCAGGCGACACGTTCCTGGCAAATAGCAACCACCAGATCGATGCCCAAAACCCCGACAACGTCGCGGCACCACCCACTGATTCCGGTAAGTAGTCTATATTGACATCTACTCTGGAGTCGTCTAACATGGCGCTTTCTCAGGTACTGTGCCTAATCTGAAGTGGAGTCTGTCACTGTCGCACACGCGTCTGCTCAAGGTTTGTGTTTCCCCGCATTCCGTCATTGCTGATCGACTGACATTCTTGATAGGGTGGCTGGGTTCGCGAGCAAACTATCACAGATTTACCCCCATGTACGTTGCCGTCATCGATCTGTTTCACAAGATGACAGGTGATCCTGACATTACTGTTTAGCTAAGGATCTCGCTGCCGCTGAACTGCGCTTGTCGCCAAACGCCTACCGTGAACTGTACGTCACGACGTTTGTTTATGTAAGGCGCGCTCACTGATTTGCTGACCCACAGTCACTGGCACCGCGTAGCCGAGTGGGGTTATATCCTCAATGGCACTGGGCGCATCTCTGCAATTGACGAGAACGGTAGGAGCTTCATTTCGGACGTTCACGGTCCGACGAACGGCACCGACCCGGACATCTACTAGTAAGATTGAATTTTCAATAGAAATGGCGTTCAGTGCTGACGGTGTGTCATCTCCCCCCGCCAGCTTCCCACCTGGTGTTCCTCACTCCATTCAGGCACTCGAAGATGGTCTCGAGATCCTCCTCATTTTCACAGACGGCAACTTCGACGCGACTGGTACCACGTTCATGCTCTCGGATTGGCTTGCGCGTACCCCGCTTGAGGTTGTTGCGCAGAACTTCGGCGTGAACGTCAGCCTGCTCGGCGGAATCCCTCAGAAGGACCCGTACGTCTTCGACAGCACTGTGGCCCCGCCACCCTTTGGCCATGCCTCCGAGCAAGCTGTGAAGGACCCGAACGGCCAGGTTCCCAGCCCGTACGTGTTCCACCTTTCCGACCAGGAGAGAAAGTCGGCGCCTGGCGGGGGCGGATGGGTCAAGATCCAGGACTCGGTCACAAACTTCCCTGTGTCGACTTTGCTCGCCAGCGCCCTGGTCTTCGTAGAGCCGAATGGTCTCCGCGAGCTGCACTGGCATACATCTGATGGTGAGGCATCCGACCCATCTAATCACATGCTCCGCTCACGCAGGCACGTAGAGTGGCTCTACATCATTAGTGGCAATGCTCGCGCTACTGCCTTCGCTGGCAGCTCCTCCTCGCGCACCTTTGACTTCCAGGTTCGTGTTGTTTTGGGTTCTGTGTCGATCGTCTGGGCTTACATTGCTGCTCAGCCTGGAGACACCGCTGTCTTCCCGGTTAGCTACGGCCACTACGTCAAGAACTTGTCGCCGACTGAGCCCCTCATCTACCTCGAGCTCTTCAAGGCGCCCAAGTTTGTGGACTTCAGTGCAACACAATGGTTAGTGCTGATCATCTCAAATGGGAGTTTCTTTTGATCACCGAGCTCCACCAGGCTCGCACTCACGCCCAGGCAAGTCGTTGCCGATCTGCTGAACCTGTCCACAAGCGTTATCGAGACGTTCAAGACGGAGAAGCAGGTGATTGTGGCGTGAGCGGAGGATCCCATGGGTTTTAAAAATACAAAGCACCTCGCTCATCCTTTACAATCTTCTCCGAACGATGCCACCGTGCACAATCCATACCTGCTGTAATTTATTGATATGCAAATTTTGCTCATCGTCCCTACAAGGACTTACGCAGACGAGATGTCAGTGTCGTATAGAGAAGTTCTCAGGACGACAGAACTGGCCTCCCGTAGCACATGAATATCAGTGGCACCCGAATGCAACTCGGGCAGTAACCTCAAGCAGGATAGCACAGTGTATCTGTCAGTGATTCCTAGCCGAATGTTACATGTTGGAGTACTCACCAAGCATATGTTATCAGGATGAATTCAAGAGTGTTGGAGTATTCAAACCCCTAATATTACAGCTAGACAAAAAGACACGCTAGAATGGAGCAGAGGCCCAGTGAAAGGCTCCCAGACATGCGCCCCGCGCCGTTCGCACCGCCCTTGCTGGTCCCGGCCAGCGGCCCAGTACCGCCACTCCTCCCGTTGCTGTTCGCTAACGCTGTGGGATCAATGTTCACGTTCTGCGCTGGGTTCGTGACAGCGGTTGTCGCGTATGTCTGCGTGGCTGAAGGATCGGACGATGATTGGGCGTCGCTCGAGACAAACACCAGCGCTGCGCCGGGGGCGGGGACGGGCACGACACAGGTGTTCGCGTTCTGGTCACAGCTGATCGTCTGGATGACTTCGTTGCCAGACAAGCGTCCATCTGCCGCGAAGCGTCCGCCGAACGTCTGCAGGGCCATAAGCTGCGTCATGGAGAGGTAAAATCGTGCGGCTTACCTGGTTCGCCCACGTAACTTGATTTTTCTCAGCGACTGATGGCGCTAGCAGGTACCTATGGGTGCGTCGTCAGACTTATATTCAGCAGCGCTTGCGAGCCCGGGGTTACTCACTTGACTCGGACCTGAGCCGGAACGGCATTAGACTCACCAACGGCGCTGCCGCCGATAGAGATCGTAGCGTTGTACGCGCCCTGGCCGTTCTGCTCGGTCATGAAGTTGACAAGAGCTACGCGCGCCAAGGCGTCGTTCTCGTAAATAGCAAAGCCGGGTGTAAACTCACTGCCGTTGTTTGCTGCAAGGTCGACAACGCGTGAAGTGTTCGTTGTCCCAAGCGCTTCCGCGAGGAAGAGCGTAGAGTACATGATCGGCCCGACCGTCCACTTGTTGATGAGCGAGAGGTTGGTTGGAGGAGCTGTTAGTTCTAATGTTAGCAGGAGATGGGACGCAATGCTCATGGATTACGAACGAGTGAATGGCTATACACGTGAACCAGTCAATACAACGACAGCGGGATAGCAAGGAGACAAAAGCACATACGTTGTATGACACGTTCTGTCCTCCAATATGCAGCATCGCCCCCGAGAAGTTGCTATATGCCATCTGCAACCCGTAGTCTACTGCCCATAGCGCGGACCCGAAGCTGTCGCTCACGCCTGCGAACCCGCCGCACGACGCCGTGTTCGTCTCGAACATCATGAAATCCTTGTCGTACTGCTGAGCGATCCCCGCGCTGTTCAGGTACGGCTGCACGATGCTTTGTCCGGACGCGTGCGTGAGGTAGTCCGCGAAGACGTCTTGGGGGTTAATGATTGGCCCAAGGCCATCTCCAGGAAAGGCGGCGGCGCAATTTTGCTCGGGATAGCTGGGCAGTGGCGTTGAAGTTCATGCTGTGCGTTCAAAGGAATGAGACGTACTGTTCGACGGAGATGACGTCCAGGAATGACGAGTACGTGTTCAGATAGCCAATGTCCCAGAGCGACTCCGGAGTCCACGTCCCCTGTAGACTGGGAGCTACGATCTTGTTCTTCGAGGCGATCTGCGGATCGTTGTTTATACCGTTGACCATGGTCCCGAATTCGTTGAAGTAGTCCGTCTGGTTGTACGTCTTCGGACGACCTCCGAGCCCGTGTCTGAAATGTCGCGGTCAACACCCGCCTTGCAGTCTCAACCCGTGCGTAAACTCTCACTGGCCGTAAAGATCCGGCTCGTTCCCGACCTGGTACCCAAGGACGTTGCTACCCAAGATAGCATCCGCATGTTCGGCAATCTGCAGGCGGAGGTGGCTCGTGTCGTTCATCGGGATACCTAGATACCACTTTGCGTTCACCAACGACGAGACGTTCGCGAAGAGATACAAGAACTCGTCCGTAAGATCCAGCGTCGGCGTCTGTCGGGCACAAGCGCACGCATGTCAGCGATCAGGTCGATGTCAAATATACGAAACGCGGCACAGCACCTGGGTGGGAGCATTGTCGTCTACGCTGTGGTCCTTTGCGATCATCGCGTTTTCCGGGAGACTGGCGACGAGCGTAGCAATTTCCTGCGTGTTACCGCCAATTCGAACTCGGACGCTGCCCGCGCGGTCGGCGACCGTGGCGAGCAGGTTGAGGAATGTGGGCTGAAGGAACGAACTACATCCCGATCACCTTTCGGATGTGGTGTGATTTGAAAGCAGCACGTACGCATTCTTGCCGACTGCATATGATTTGTCCATGAGCATTCAGGACTCACTGGCGTGTCGAAGTGCAGGGATACTCACTAACTTGCTGAACCACTGACATCTCGATAGAGAACCCGAAGAAATCGCCCTTGTGCGGGATCGAGAGCTTGGGCATGTTG